TTAACAAAAGGAAAGCTTGAAGACTTTAAACATGTTTGGTTTCCCTTCCTACATCTTGTTAAATACTGTGACATGTAAAGCTAACTTTCCTTTTCGTTTTGTGTAGATGGAGTGAGCCCTGGGCTTCAGTGTTTTTTTGGGTGGGGGGAGGGAATGCACTGTATGTTAAATTTCTTTTTTATTTTTTGCTTTTTTTTTATTTTATCTATTTTGTTTTACTTTTCATGTTTGTGTGTGTGTGTGTGTGTGTGTGTGTGTGTGTGTGTGTGTGTGTGTTTTATATAGCAGAAAATTCTAATAAAACTATCTTGGGGGAAAAAAAAGAGAACTCCAGAACTCGGTTCTGTCTAGAACCAGAGCCTGGAAAAACCGATGAAGATGATCTGGAGGTTCTATCAGAGCAACCAGAACCTGAGCAGAACCTCAGGCTGAGCTGCATTGATGCAGGAAAAGGAGCCCAGACCAGAACTGGGAGCAGAACCCGGTCAGTAGGAACCTTTCTGGATCCAAAGTAATAAATTCTGATGAAATGTTCTGACGTTCTGAGAAACCGAATGTTGTTTTAGCTGAGAGTCGTAGTAACAACTAACAGGAATGAAAATATTTTATTTGTGGAAATATTTAATTTTTTTTTTCCAAAGCAAAGGAAAAGAAACGGTTTGTTCTGTTTGGATCATCTCTGCATGAATCAGCAGAACCTCAAGGCTCTGGTCTCGGTATCAGATCTTAAACCGGTGGCTAACTAGGATCCAGACCCGACCAGAACCTCCCTGAGTGGGTCCAACAGGAATCAACTAGAACCTGGTACCGACTGAAGAAGTGGGTCGGGTTAGGGCTTAAGGACAGGAAGTAGAGGACAGAGGACGTTGATTGGACAGAAGCATCAGGTCCAGTTCAGGTTCAGACCCGGTTTAGACTCAGACTTTCTGCTTAGCTGTCCACCAGGAGACGTCTTTTCACTTTCAAACATCTTTCTACATCTTCTGTTTTCTTTGAAAGGAATTCTGCAGGAAGTTGATCGATGTTGAATTTATTTGAAGGGATGAAAACATTCTCTGAAACGTTTTGAAAGCCCTTCAGAGCATCCAGAGAGCCGACCATTAAGTCTTCATTCCCATCATCCCTGTTCAGTTCGCTTTAACCTGACTCCAGTCCATCTGCCTAGTCAAAGTCTGGTTTGGAAGGTGAGGTGTGAATGCTAATCGACTTTTGAACTCTGGTTCAGTTTGAATGTGAACGCCAAGTGGACCGGAGGCCGCTCCAAAAGCAGGAAGTGGACTCCAGCAGAGGGCATTCTGGGTAAATACAACCAAAGCTAATGTGCTAGCCTAGCACTAGCAGCAGAAATGGCTCCTGGTCTTTAGCCTAAAGAGAAATCCTCCAACCGCTAAAATCCTCCATCTTGTTTCCATCTGGTGAAGAAGGAAGTTGCTCTCAGTGTCTTCAGAGGTTTTTGTGTCGTTTCCTTCAGTGGTTCTTGGTGCAGCGCCCCCACAGGTCAGGAGGGGAACAGGCTGGTTTGACTCAGAGCAGAGAGAAAGAGAACCAGCAGCTGGAGATGTTAAATGTTTTGGTACCAGTAGAATCGGGTCGACCGGATTATCAGGAGGAAAACAGACTGAGACATCTAGGACTCAAGACTAGATGTTGAATTCTAGAATCCACATCTATGATTCAACATCATCTGAATCATAAGACCAGCTGTCTTCAGACCAGAGGGACGGGTTCTGTGCCCCGAGGGGACAACCATCCAGGCACCGAACTCCAGAGCAACAGGAAGTCCTCAGATCAGAACGAAGCGATCCCAACACGGATGGTCAAACACACAGCTGTTCCTCCATGAACGACTTTAGGTGGGAATCTTTAGATTAGAGACCAGGAACAGTAAAACTGAAGAGCTTCGTAGTTTTCTTTGAGCATCCTTGAGTAGGTCGGGTCCAGAGACGACCTGAGCTTTGCTTTGACTGCTGCAGGAACCAGGAGAGCTCCTGATGAGAGCTGACCTGACCCAACAAACACTCTGTACCGGGTCAGAACCAGCTGCTGGATGTTCTACAACCAAACCCATCAGGTTGCTAAGACCCAATACTTTCCTGTTAATGTCAGGAGAGCATCGACTCCAGAACCACAGACAGATGGTCCAGAGAGAAGACCTGCTGGTTCTTCCTGGTTCCACCACAGCTGGGTTTATAAATGATAAAAACTGAGAATCAGAGGTGAATCAGAGTCGATCATCATCTCCCTCCACTGTGATCATTTTCAGAACCTCTCAATTTAACAGACAATTTGTTTACTGAGGAGGAGGATTCTGACACACAAATGGGGAGTGATTAATTTTGGTACCGGTAATGCAGAACATAATGGTTCTTACCAAGTCTGGCCATTCACTTCCTGTGCAACTCTGTTTGAAATTAAACTCGCTTCCAGCTCAGTCTGGGCTTTCTCCCCTGGACTCAGATCGTCTCTGGTAGATTTCCTGCCGGGTCAGTCGGCAAACAGAAGGAGAAGCTGCGAACGACGACGCAGATTTTCTGCTCTGTTTATAACTGTAGTCTGCCTGCAGTTTTAGAGACAGCAGAGGAGGAAGTGAAGGAGGCCGTCCAGTCCGTGTTGGTCACTCTCCAGATACTGAACCAACATGGACAGTCACCTCGTTTGGCTCTTCTCTCATTTCTGAGGAGGACAGTTGTTTGCAGTGCGGGTAATATCCGGTAGGTGTCTTAGCATCGAACTGGCGCTTTACAAATGTCACATGCAAACACTGGCAATTGGGTCAAATTTAAAACCTCAACACAGTCCACTCCTCCAGGAAGCAATCATCTCTCAACAGCTGAGAGCCCAGAGTCTCTGGACGCAGCAAAGCGTGGGACAAGGGGCTGGTTTCATCCCGACTGAATCAGAGGTCAGAGGAGATCTGGTATAACCAAGACAAAATCTGGACTGACTTTGGGAAAGTCTGGAGAACCATCGACCAGAACCAGGAAGGTCAGGCTGCCTGGAAGGAAACGTCAAACTGCATTGAGACTTTTGCACACTCCAGTAGCTCAGTCGTGTTTGTCCTGCTGGTAGGTTACCTCTGGGCTTCCTCCTACGTTCCAGAACGGTTCTGTTCCTGGTTCTGAATGCATGTTCACTTGTTTTTGACCTTCTCACTAGGGATGTAGTGATACAATAATCTCACGATACAATACACGATATTCGGAAAACGATATGGTTCATTGCGATTCGATACACTTTTATGGTTTTCTGAAGGATTTTAGAAAACAGAGTGATTTTGGTGACATTTTGACTTGGATTTAATCAGTTTTCAGTTAGATTTAATTAACTGAAAACTGATTAAAAGCACCAACTACACAATACCTGGCTCTGATTGGACAGAGACATAAAGTCTACAGCTGGAAAAAATGAATCAAAGATGCTGTGAGAAAATTAGTTTCTGTCATTTAATTGACATATAACTCAAAGTTCCAGCAGTGATCTGGGAGCCGAGTGGGGAGATTATCAGCCTCTGTAGACTCTCAATATGTAAATGATTGCACTTATGTTTTTCTTTTGGACAAACTGTGGCTGCATCTTGGACCTCGAGTCACAGGAAAACAAAATTCGATTTGGAAAAATGTTAATTTTTTCCACTGTGAAACGGTCAAATATTCAAACAAATGGTTTTTATAATTTAGAATGACAATGTATGCTGTACATTTCTTAAACTGATGTAAAAATATTGCAAGCAACACAATTTTATAACATTAGCATGAAAATGAAGGCAATTCCTCATTCATTACAATTTTTAACAAAACATCACAGGTCAAAACAAGATGCCACAAAATTTGTGTGTTGTGGGTCGGGGGGGGTAAAAAACATCTTTTGGACTATAAAAGGTTTTTCTGCCTTGGCTCCCAGAGTTAGCCGTGGCTGTAAGCTGTTTACTACTAGCTGCTGGCGGAGTGGCTCCGCCTCACCCCACAGTGATCGACTCCTGGCAGCTGCAGCGCCGCCGTTCCCCTCTTGTATATCTGAGTATCTGCCTCTCAGACTGACAGGATCTCATCGTTCTCTCAGTCTCTGATACTGTCAGTTACCAATAAGAATGATTGATCTGCCATCGTCGTCATGGCAATCCTCACCTCCCAGACTCCGGCTGCGGGTTTCCCCTCTCCGTCTTCCTGCTCCAAGCAGAGCGCCGCTGCTGCTGCGCGTTGATTCTTCAGGTAATCCTTCACATACAGACAGAAACCACTAGGCTAAAACAAATCACCCAGCGGATGCCACCGATCGCTCCGGTATCCAAACTTTGCATTAATTTTGCGATCTCACTGCTTTTGCTGCTACATCATTCTGCTTCTCTTTCACCGTAACCTGAACAACTTTACTTTGTTTCTTAGCAACAAAATGCATCCCATAATTATTTGTTGAAGATGTGAGATTTCCAATAACAAAGGAATCTGATGTTGCTTTTCATTTTTTATGTTTGGAGGCTCATTTCCTGTCACATTCCCAGCAGGGCTGGAGCCAGAGGGGGGGCCAAAGGGGCCCAGACATCTGATAAGCCATCCGAATATCCAAAGAAGAAAACCAATAAATATATGAAAAGAAAATGTATAAAACTTTATATAAGTCCATGTGATGATATAAATAGATTTATACCAGCCTCCATTATGCTAATAATCATAAAATCAAGCCATCCTGTTCTCCTGGATGTTCCTCTTGTGCTGCGCTGTGGTGCAACTCAAAGGCTAAAGCAAACATCATACCTGGTGGTGAAAACACCAATAAGTTATTTACTGATCCTCCGCAAAAAAAAAAGAAAGGAGAGGGGGGCGACAGTCTTCGTAGTTTGGAGCAGAGGTTGCGCTAGTTTTTTTTTGTTGTCCATCAAAGAAAAACATAATTTTATTTCCATTCTGTAGTCATCAAGCTGAACATTAATCTTTTTCTATGCAGCGAGAAGGCTTTTGAAATCAGGTAACATTTCACCAAATGAAGTGATTAGAAGACGGCAGAACTCTGATCGTTTCCTGATCCAGCAGAAGCGGATCAGCTGCTGGACGCTCCAGAGCCTCTGGTCCGTTAAAGGGTCCAGATCAGAGGTGATACTCTGACAGAAATTGTTCTTATATTGATTGATAGTGAGCTCCACGATGTTCTCTGTGCGTAAAGTTGAAACTGTCTGTGCACCAAGTGTCAGCTGTGCTTTATCACAGTCTGGACAGAAACCAGCAGACTGCTCTCTGATCTTATCAAGACGAGGGTGAGGAGGGAATCTGACATATTAACTCAGTTAAGTTTTACTGGTTTTGTTTTTAGACCACCATTAACGTAACCAGTGTTATTGTATATTTGTCGTTTGTCATCTTATGTTTGATGAATTGGAGCGAAACGATGGAGCATTTATTGTCCAGCGCACTGCGCTTGTTTCTAACAGACATCTGCACTTTAATTTCTTTCCTCCCTCAACAGTCAGCTGCTATTCCTCTATTTAAACTACAAGACGATCAACACAACTTGATCACACATTCTCTTTAGGCTTTCTCTGTGTGCTGCAAACTCATTCGAAGCCCGAGCCGCCATCAGGCAAATAGTTCTGGCCTGCCTATTAACATCGGCATTTTAATGCGGTTTAGTTAATATTCACCTAATTGAATCCAGATCCCATCACACATAAAGCAGATGACTGTATCTAACTTTTTCTCTGTAGTGACACAAACCACTGACTGTGACCCCAATAATTTATAAGAACTGAAATTAAATGTCTCCACTTAAATTAGCATCACTTCTCCTGCTGCGGTCTGAACGCACAGGCTCACAAATTCCTCCTGGTCGCATCTGCAGAGAAATCTGCGCTGGTTCATCTGTCAGTTGGATCTGAACTCATCATGCAGTTTTAACAAACAGTTTGTTTGTTGTGCTTCTCTGAAACGGACAGATGTTACGTCTGCAGCG